TTCCCAAACTGCTTTCGTAAATAATAATGTTAATAAAAATTATTACCCAGCCTTCATCAGCAAGTCCCAGGGTTCTGACAATTTAAAACCCAGAATTAAAAACAGCTAAAACCAATTTCAGTAACGGGAGTAGAGTGGTTCCTAAAAACACACATCTCCATCTCAAGTATCAAAGGCGTACTGTCTTCAGCATTTGCCAAAAGCTGTAAGGTGAAGATTCCAGACACACCTGGGGGCGGGGGGGGGGGTTATGACGTAATTCAACACATTGAAGCACTTTTTTTCAAGCCCCACTGCTTTCACAGTTGCACTTGTGTTTACCTTCTGCACGTGCTTAAGTATGTTGGATCATGCATTTTACCCAGGTTACTCAGCATATTTCCTAGACTCGGAAATAAAATAGCTTTAAATTAAAACTATAATGATATGACTAAATAAATGACCACTAGTGCTTTGATAGTTCTGCAAAATATGCTGCTTGGTTCATGGTGTCTCACCCTGATATTCTGCCTAGGTCAGACCATACCTGGAGTACTGTGCCCAATTCTGGGCACTACAATTTAAGAAGGATGTTGACAAGCTGGAATGTGTGCGGAGGAGGCAACCAAGATGAATCAATAGCTTCAAGCTATAAGAAATGAGATTCTGACTAAACATATGGAAAAACTTTCTGACACTAAGAGCTGTTTGACAGTGGAACAGTCTCTCTCAGGAGGTTGTGGACTCTCCTTCCTTGGAGGTTTTTAAGGAGAGGTAGGCTGGCCATCTGTCTTGGATGCTTTAGCTGAGATTTCTGCACTGCAGAGGGTTGGGCTAGATGACCCTTGGGATCTCTTCCAACTCTATGATTCTATGATAAACAGAAAGGCCTGTGTTGGCTGATTTATTACCCCCCCCCCAAGTGCAGGGCTTTGTTTGAAAGTGAGATAATTCTGCATACAGGTTCATTTGCCAGTGGATATGTCAGGAGGTGGCTTATCAATTTGTTCTTCTCTTTGGTCCTCAACAAATGATAAAAAATATAAAGGGTGCAAAGTTATCTTTATTTAAAAGTGCAGTATTAATAGCACATCTGGTCTGTTAATCAGGCGAGGTTAACTGTTAAGAGAGACACCTTTTAATCTGTTTGAAAGATAAAATGGTTGACTATTGAGCCATTAAAAACTGAAACCAAATACGCTAAGTGTGCTTTTAGGCAACAGGGTGATTTCATCCTATTGTCAAGAGGCTTGTTACTTTAAAGGAATTACTTTTGTGCATGGTAACTAAAGATGTGTCCCTCTTTCCGATGGAAGAAAGATTGACGAATGGTGACAAATGGCTGGTTTCATGCTCCCGAAGGCAGTCTTAGGAGACGTGCAATGTCATTTCACAGTGTCTCTTGAATGTTGGATGTTGCAGAGAACAGCTAAATTCAACATCATACCCTGTAATTTCCCATTTAATTTACCATACAAACTTAAACATAAAATTAGCATCATGTGCAGAATTAAAGACTGCAGTTAAAAGGAATTCTGCCATAAGATATTGTGGAAACTGTACGCAAATATGCCCACAAAAGTTACAAGCCCATAATTTTTGCTTATTGTCATCCCTTTGCTCCTCCCCATCACCACATAGCTATTTCCATGATATTGATGGGCTGAAAGGAGGCTGTAGGGAGAGGAGATGGAAACAACAACAGAGAAGAGCCAGAACTCTTCCAGTTTACTAGAACGTCCTTGCCTGATTTTCTTTCTTTCTTTCTTTCTTTCTTTCTTTCTTTCTTTCTTTCTTTCTTTCTTCTTTCTTCTCTTCTTCTTCTTCTTCTTCTTCTTCTTCTTCTTCTTCTTCTTCTTCTTCTTCATGGCTACAGCCTAGTAAGGTTGGGTGCATTTAAAAGTGAACCTACCTATTTCACACTTTCTAAAACAATACACATGGGGAAGCACAACCATCCTTAGAAATTCACGCTGGCCTCTCAGGGGCACCCCAGCAAATGGGGGAGCTGCACGGCTTTGCCGGCAGCCTCCCCTTTCCCTGCACGCCCGTCAGCTGCGCCCAGCCAACCATAAGGCTGGCGGGCGTTAAGCTTCCTCCCAAGCCTCTGGGAGGATCGCTCTCCTCCCAAGGAGGCTTGGGAGGGGCACAACTTCACTCCCAAGCCTCTGCGGGCATCGCTGTCCCGCAGCGGCATGGGGGAGAGTTGCGCCCCCGGATGGCTGGCAGTGCGCAGCTACGGCCACCCCAACACTATTTGTGGTAATTTGGGAGTGCTGGGCGGATATTTGCACCTCGGTGCTTCATCTGCTAAAGACAGCCCGGCAGAGGAAAGACTTAAGTCACTGAGATTCTCTCTCCTTTACAGTTGGTTTACCTCATCACTTAAATTGCATGGGAAATATTCTAAGAAAGGGCTCTCTGTTACCACATATAATGCTTTAGGGAAGCTCCATAATGACAGATGAGCCTTTCCCTTAAAAAAAAGGACCTCTTGCCTGCCTGTACCAGTCATCTCCTCCAAAACTGTAAAATGAGTGCATGTCCTACAACAGCCTTCCCCATCCAGTTTCCTTCCAGATGTTTTGGATTATAGCTCCTATCGTTCGGTCCCAGAGCCTGCCAACCTAGCAGTTCGAAAGCACCCCCGGGTGCAAGTAGATAAATAGGGACTGCTTACCAGCGGGAAGGTAAACGGCGTTCCGTGTGCTGCGCTGGCTCGCCAGATGCAGCTTGTCACGCTGGCCACGTGACCCGGAAGTGTCTGCGGACAGCGCTGGCTCCCGGCCTATAGAGTGAGATGAGCGCACAACCCTAGAGTCTGTCAAGACTGGCCCATACGGGCAGGGGTACCTTTACCTTTATCCTTGACCACTGACCATGCTGGCTGGGGCTGATGGGAACTGGAGATGAATAACAAAAGGGGGAAACTCATTTGGGAAAGCTGTTCCATAAGAAGTTATATGATCCTTAGAGTATGTATGTATGTATGTATGTATGCATGCATGCATGCATGTATGTTTGTATCAAGAAATACAGGGTGAGTCTTTTAAAAGAGACCCCGTGGAACATGTGTACTCTGTATCCATGGGGCCTCTTTTAAAGGACTTACCCTGTACAGTATAAGCACTGCAGTTTACAACAATATAAAATCATACAGAATTTCTCAGAATTGCTGCAAATTGCAGGTGTTCCTCATGGGTTGATGTGGACTGGGCTTCCTTCAAAGCAGGATGTTGAAATGTCGGTAGCTCAGAGTAAAACATTTGTGCTTTAGAAGAGAGTTGTATAATTGTGGGGGTGTGGAGAGTTGTATTATTGTTTTAAAAGTGAATTTGGGAAGCATAAAGAATATTAATGGGTTTCTTCATTGCCTATTTTGTTCGATTGCATTTTTGTGTTTATGGGTAATCCCAACAGATAGTTTCTTCCCTTCTCTTGGGCTGTTGGCAGGACTTCTAAGTATTCCTTGTGCGGGGAGTGATGTTGGTCAGCCACAGGAGTAATGGGACATTTTTTCCTATGTCACGTCCTTCCTGAATCAATGCCTCATGCGCTCACTTCCAGTTCAAAAAAAGAGCTGGGGGTAAGGAAACTGAGAAGGTCTGACCCAGATGTACTGTTAGAGTGTAGGAGGCAGGAAACACAGCTGAAAGGTGCTTTGCCAATTCTTCATAATTTCTGTAGCTATTGGAAATATCCATTATTCGGAGCAGTAGCTTTGCTCAAAGCAAGCCAGGTGTCTTTGATTCACTTCTGAAGGTGAAAATGCATATTTTCCACATTAACCGTTGTGTACTAGTTTATTACTTCTACATAACTTACTGTAAACTCATAATTGCATAATTCCCAGGGGTGTTATTACAGTACATTCTGCTTATGCAATATGCATTTGTGGTGGTTTTTAAACTGTAAGTACAGTGCATGTATTTACAGAATCTGTTTAACTAGGGTTCTAATTAACTGTTTTGGTGTGTCTGTGTCTGTACGCAATCACAAAGTGCTTGTTTTCATATGTGGTATAATTAATTCTACTGCGGCAACGCCTTGTAAAATGCCAGAAGCATTTGGCTTGCTTACAGCTTTAAGACTTCTAGAGTTTAAAAATGTTCCTTAAAATCACCTTAAATAGGTTAACGGCATCCTGATCATTGTGCCAAGAATGTCAACACGGTTTAAGGCGAGAGGGCCAGCCTCAGGTGGCAAATTTTAATTTATTGCCGGAGGGCAGCAAATAAAATAGTCAGGCTAGTTTTATTACATTTCTACTACCAAGGATAAGTTACTTCAATATTCTGTTTCAGGCATCAGATTGCCTTGTGCCATCTCCGTACTGCACTTTTCATTATACATACTTCCTGTTGGTGGCTGTTCAAATTGGGACTAAAGGAACTAAACAGTAGTTCTTCAATTCAAAAGAATATCTAGAATCCACAGAGCTATGAAACTAGTTTTATGAAGCCAATGAGTTTTTGTGACTTTCCTCCTCTCTCTTGAAACAGCAGCCCACCCTCTCATGAGAAACTGCTCTTGAAATTGAGGGAATTTCAAAGGCAGTTTTTCATATAACACAATGGATTGGGGAGAAGCTCAGTTTTTGTTTATTTGTTTGACAAAATTGAGATGCCATGTGATTGCAAAAACAACAACCAATTATTCTACTATCCTTGTACTAGCCCCTTATGAAGGCTGTACAGTGGTACCTCGGGTTACATACGCTTCAGGTTACATACGCTTCAGGTTACAGACTCTGCTAACCCAGAAATAGTGTTTCAGGTTAAGAACTTTGCTTCAGGATGAGAACAGAAATCATGCTCCGGCGGCGCGGCGGCAGCAGGAGGCCCCATTAGCTAAAGTGGTGCTTCAGGTTAAGAACAGTTTCAGGTTAAGTACGGACCTCCGGAAAGAATTAAAGACTTAACCCGAGGTACCACTGTATACCCATTGATAAACTGTAATTGTATTGTACTTGTAGATAATTTGGTGACAAACTTAAGAGTGTTCTCTTTTTATTTCTTTAGTTTCTCTGTTTGAAGAATATAAGAACATTCCTTTTGGCCTGCTGTGAGACATTTGGGATGAAGAAAAGTGAACTTTTTGAAGCATTTGACCTGTTTGATGTCCGTGATTTTGGAAAGGTATTTACAGTTTTACTCTCATCCACTTCTATGTATATTTAAAATCAGTGCATAATTCAATTAGCATCTTATGCTGTTGGATATTCTTGATGAACATACGTGTTAGTTTTTTTACTGGGAAAATGTCACCATGTATGTATCACACGGTGATTGTGCAATTGCAAGAAATTAGTAAATTAAAATTTCCCCATCTTTACATTTCCTTTGGTTGTGGTTTGATTTCTCAGCATGGGGGCATGTTGATAAGGAAAATTAAGGGTGAATTAATACATGCTTACATTGAAGCAAGAAAAAAAAATACTGATGTTTGGTATGCCTTTATGTTCTTTTTATCATTACCAATGGGCAAAACAATACAGCTGCCCCAGTTTGACATCTCCCTTCATCTGCATGAAACTGAATGAGGGCAAGTAACACCCCGGTTCTCTTGAGTTTCCAGTGTTCCTTCAAAAGAAGGAATCCATATACCCATAACATCACCAGAACTTGTTAAAAGATGACCAAAACTTTCTAAAGATTGTACCAAGTGCCCACTGTGAAGCGATAATAATGATTTGGGCATGTGTAGGGGTGGTACCTCTGGTAGGGGACATTTCTGGGGTGGTTTGCCCAATTTGGTTGCCATCCTGCACTTAGCTCTCATCTGTGACTCCTAGAAGCCGTCAGAATGCAGCAGCGGCCACACCTTGAGAAGTGACTTTGTCTCACCGGCTAAACCAGGTGAGGGTAGCCGGTGGGTCTCAAATCCTCAGTGAGTTAGGGACTTCCCCTGCATGCAAAGGCAGCCTCCAGCAGATTTAGCAGACAAGAACAGTAGTAGGTTCAACAGTCAAGAAGGTGGTTATTGCATGTGCTGCAGAGGAAAATGAGGGGCAGATGGGGCTCATTCACCTGGAAAGGTAGCCCATCTAGGAGAAGGAAAACTCTGATCCTCAATCTCCTCTCTTTTGTGGCTATACTCATAAGTGAGAAAGGCTCCAGGAGTAAATCCCAAGGAAAAAGCGATACCTGCTGCCTTGCGGGACATCTTTGGAAGAAGAAAAGGCTAAGGAGTAAACCCTATACAAATCCAGAGCTGTGTCCCTAAGGCGGTTGGATGGCCTCTTGTATGCCTCCTTCTGCTCTGCTCTGCTTTGGATCACATCAGTGAGTCTGTGATGGGGAGTGGTCTTGTCATTGAGGCTGCCCAGGGCCTCCATACAGGCTTGTGCCCCGGACAGGTCACTTCAGTGCTGCTAAGGCAGCAAAAACAACGTGGGAGGCAGCAGTTATGTCTGCAAAGCAGTTAACTGTCTCTGCAGGCAGAGCAGGCGCTGTGATTCTCCAGCAGTTTGACTTTGCCCCTGGGGGCGTACTCCATTGGCCCTTGAGACAGAAGGATGCCAACAGCAAGTGTTTGTTTGTAGGTTGGTGTTGCGTTCATTGTGGATGCAGTAGCCACTGGTGCAGCATTTTTAGCTGAATCCATCTTTTTAAACTTGTCTATTGTCACCTGCAGCCTATTTATCATCTTTCAAAGAAGCTTCTTAGTAATTACATCTGTTTGCTTTGAACAAAGGCCATAGGATAAGAATGTAATACCCACGGAACCTTGAATAATAACATTTTCAATACACAAGATTAGATTCATGTTGTTAGATTAACAGCGACTGCTGATCTAATTTTACAGGCAGCCACTGCTAAATTTGTCACACCTTTATAAGCATCACAGCCCGGAACACCACCACACTTTGCATATTTGTCATTTGCACAATACAGAACTGCGTTCTAGATAGATCTCATTTTTAAGGGGGGGGGGAAGCCTGAACTCTCTAATTGACTTTAAAAATTAGCAGGAAAAACATTACATGCTACCCTAGTTCCCCAGTTACGGCAACAGAAAGGTGGAGGAGTTGTATTGCTGTTGCCAATGAGATAATTTGGTACAAATGTGATTTGTTTTCTGGACAGTCACCAGAAAGTGTCTCTTCACTTGCCAAATGCTGTGTTCATTTACTGTGCTGTAGTCTGCCTTGCACTGCTTTCTGATGTGTTGGTAAACAAATTGTAGTTGATTTTTCTCCCTTAATTTAAACTCCCAGTGCAGCTGGCTGTGCTTGTTACAGAACAAATGAAACCTGCAACTTTTTATTTTTATTTTTGCAGTGTGTCCCTTCTCATAAAAAAGTGCTCCCATTTGGGGTTTAAACCAACCATTCTCAATCTGGTTTGTTTATTTCTGTGACACCTTAGACTTGCTTTAGAAACAGTGTTGAAAATTCTTTTCGAAACCACCCTTGCCTGGGACTGATATCTGCAACTCCAGTGCATTCAGTAATATTTCCTCTCTGGCTAGGCACATGCTGTTGGAGAATGGAAGGAAAGCAGTGCGTCCTAATGTATCTGTGAAGTATTGACTAAATGTTAAAGGAGGCATTTTCCCCAAACCTCATGATTAAGGAAAAAATGGGGGGCAATGATTAATCAAAGACAAGGATTGGGATATGGGGTCTGAATCTGGTAAATAGGGGTGTTGGAAAGTAGCACATCCATGCAAAACATATCCCTATTTTCCTGTCCTGCATGAAATGGACAATTTGCTTTTCTTTCTTCTGTCTGTTTCAAGGAAAGCTGTTAGCAGCTTTTTTGTAATGGGGGAACTCACATGTGGTAAATAGTAGCAGTAGCATTATATGATTCTGTGAAGTGCCATTCCCAGCTCACCCATAAATCCTAGTAGCAGATGGCAGGAGCAACTTGTATTGTCCTCTTTACATTCCATATTGAGATGTGTGTGTGTTTTAAAAGAAGCAGCTGGAAATTAATTTTTTTGTAGCTTATTTGTACCTAAGGATTTGAGTTTAATGACACAACCAATGCACTTTGCAACTATTTGTAAGAATTCTGTGTGTGTATGTGGCCACATTTTACTCCTTGGTGAAAAAATGCAGGGTTTGATACGAGCTGTTGGTTGTATTTTGAGAAGGCACTGTGTTTGTGCAAAAGCAAATGTCGAATAAGTGGGGGGAAATTATTGGCAGCCTACAGAGATTTGTAAAATGATTATCTGGCTGCATATGACTCCCTTGCCTTATTAAGATATGCATCTTTCTTCTCTCTGCAGTTAATTTTTATTTTAGCTATTTCAGTATCTTATAGCCGAAGTCTTGTGGCACCTTAAAGAATGACATATTTATTATGGAATAAATTTTAGCATACTAGAGACCACTTTATCCTTTTCGCAGTTGTCTCTGCTTGGACATGCTGGCTTGCATGGCACACCAAGCCAAACCTTGGATTACTATAGTGTGGCATAGAAGCAAAAAAGGACCAGACGAGAGCAAAATTGCTGTGAGCTCATCTCAGTGAGCGTGCAGAGTCATGTGGCTTCATTAAGCCAAGGTTTGGCTTAGCATGTTGTACAAACAAAGCCACTGAGAGGGTCCAGGGCCAACAGGGATATGACATCAAGCGTAGGGTCCAGGCTATCCTGCTACTTCCCTTCAGAGATCCTGCTCACATAAATAACGAAAGCAGCAGTGACATCTTTCAAATATTTATTTCTACGCTAATGATACTTACAACACTCATACTTTGTTGAACAGGAAACCCATATGTTTAGAAGCGAATATTATTTGTAGCATTTCACAAATGCTTGGACTCTGTGGACTTTTGCACAACGTTAGTCATAGCTGCCTCCTGTCCTGGAGGATTTGTGATCGGTTATGTTGGCTTGTTGATCATGAAGGAAAGATTCCCCCCCCCCCCCCGCTTCTCAAAATGCTGCCAAGGCAAAGTCTTTATTTGGGATTCTGTACCAGAGAGTCACTTTTCATTTGCTTAACTGTTTTCTTTCCTTATGAGTTGGCATACGGACATAATTCAGGTTGTGCTGGATTAATCTGAAGTGTCACGAACCTGAAGGGAACATTTTGAGCTGCATAAAAGGCACCCTCCCTTCTCCCCCCCCCCACCTGGCGATTATTTTGATTGCTCCAAAGTATTGCTACAAATGTTGGCCAAGCCATGCCAGCCTTTTGCCAGGGAAATTTGCTTGGTAATGACCCAGGATGTCCAAGCAGTGTCTCTTTATGGTAACTTAATTGTTGGAGAACTCAAGGGAGATTACTCAATCTTTCCCTCCAGCTGGAGGGAAAGGGCAAGCGGAGGAAACAGCAGAAGTGTTTTGGAATGGAGAAAAGGAGCAGGTTAGGGCTGGGAAAAAGAAGCAGCAGTTTTGAGACAGGTGCTGAGAGAGCAAGAGCAAGGAAATGAAAGCTGGAAAGCACCATTTAGCAACAGAATCTCTTTGGAAAACTGATACAGAGCGGTAGATTTGCCTCTTGTAGGAATGCTTAATCTGTTTGCATTCACCTTTGCCTGTTAGTAGATCTGTCACATATTACAAAATTGACATAAATCTCCATTGATCTCTCCTGCAAAACAAAGCCAAATTGAGAAAAGTGTTGCTCTTGGAACTTTTTATCAGGAAGATGTATGTAGGAAGCCTCGGCCCAGTATACCTGAAGGAGCGCCTCCACACCCATCGTTCAGCCCAGACTCTGAGGTCCAGCTCCGAGGGCCTTCTGGCAGTTCCCTCATTGCGAGAAGCAAAGCTACAGGGAACCAGGCAGAGGGCCTTTTTGGTTGGAATGCCCTCCCACCAGATGTCAAGGAAATAAACAAGTACCTGACTTTTAGAAGACATCTGAAGGCAGCCCTGTTTAGGAAAATTTTTAATGTTTGATCTTTTATTGTGTTTTTAATATCCTGTTGGAAGCCACCCAGAGTGGCTGGGGAGGCCCGGCCAGATGGGTGGGGTATAAATAAAAAGTTATTATTATTATTATTATTTATTATTGCCCTCACTCTGGATTGGCTTCATTTGTCCTCGGTGATGTTATCATATACCTGATGTGTAATTGACTGTGGTTACCCATATAGGGGACGCGGGTGGCGCTGTGGGTAAAACCTCAGCGCCTAGGACTTGCCGATCGCATGGTCGGCGGTTCGAATCCCCG